TGTACATGTATCTACAATGTATGTAGCTTCAACCCTTTTACTCCAAAATCAGCTTAAACAAATACATATCGTAGCCCTTACATGCACATACCGGTATGATACAGTACATATACCAACAAGTACCGGTACATGTACGTACATGTATCTCCAAAAAGTTCAAAATATGTTGACCCATTCCAGTACTGGTCCATGAAATTAATTTGACAAAATATTGATTCTTCAGTAACAACTTCCGGTACATGTAATTCTTTCACAGCTGGAGGGGGGAATTGGATAATATGGCAATGATAATATAACAGGAAAATGATTTACATGTAGCGGTAGTGTAGCTTACATGTCCTGTGTGATACCATACTTGAGCCTTAAACAGGTTTTGTTCCAATTAAAACAGCAAAGCTGTTTATACACAAGAACTGTACACAAATGTACACACAACTTATGGCGTTTGATAGGAATTATGAACAGTTTTCTTTATTTTGTTTTGAAATGGACACTATTTTGAGCCAATTATGAAAGCAATCACTTGCATGTAAGTTTTTGCACAACTTTGTCTAGGTTTCCTGAAAATACATGTACGTTTCAATATCACTGGTATCAGAAATTCAGAATGCTGCAGGTACATACATGTACATGTACCGGTACATGTACGCCTACATGTACAATGTACATGTATACATGCATCGGTACTTCAAAAAAGAATTTTCAAACAAAAAAGTTTCTATTTTGAGATGAAACACAAGCTACAGTACCAAAATTAAAGTTGGGCTACCAGTAACAGAACTACATGTACATGTAAAGCAAGTCAAAAATATTAAACTAATCGAGAGCAGAGTCACTTCAATCAATGTACGGTACATGTACATGCACACATACTCAGCACAGTTGATCCCCATGAATGACAAGTTGTCAGCAATGTTCATTTGCACCCTTCCTTTAATCAACAATTTTGGAACAAACATCTAAATGTTAAAGCTTAAACACCAGATGTCTAACCTCAGCGAATCAGATTCTTCTAAATTGAACCAGGTCTTGCTGAGGACTCTCAGAAAATATGCACCCTTTTGCTCGTATTGCCTTCGGCCAAGTGAATAAGGAGAGTAACATTATATTCTCATTTATTTAGATGACATGCATTTATTCCTCAAGTTACTGAGAGCAGTTGGCACTGTAATTGTCTGGCTTCATGTACAGGTGAAGTCTAGCATACTGAAAGAGGTATTAGTTTACACTTTACACAAATTACAGTACAACTGCTTAAACCTTACTTTTTCCTTGTTTTTACTTGGTGAATTTCAATGCAACTGAGCACTAACACACTATAATCATGCATGTACCGGTACCTTTCTGTGCTATATACATGTACACGAACACGTGTGATCCAGTAGGTACATGTACATTTCTATAGCTGGTTTTTATCATAGATTTACCAGTAAAACTGAGAATTTATAGTCACTTGCATATACAAAACTATAGCCACTAATCACTATACATGTACATGTACATGTACCGATATGTATGTACATGTACATGCACATTGTGTGTATGGTACAGTACATGTACATGTACATCTGAATGAAGTCTTTGCAAGTGTTTGATATATTGAAGTGTACATATACATGTACATACTGGAAAATATGTAGTTTATACGAGATAGGACTGAACACATGAAACTGATTTCTCACACATAAAGGTGCATTTATACATTGTACATGTATGTACATGTACAGTACATGTACCTGCACATGTAGCCAAGGTCTCAGAAAATCAGAATCAGTGATAGACACAACGTATCAGTTTACACCAATAATGATCTAGTTGTCTCAAACCAAAAGTTTTAATTATCTGTCTCAAACCACAAGACTGATCAAGACTGTCAAAAGGGTTCTCAATTTCAGCCAAGAAAACAAAAAATCAATCCTCCAATTTTCCTGACTATACACGCTCTAGTATGTACATGTACATTACATTTTCCTGTTCATACTAAAATTACTCACGATACACATGTACCAGTGTACTGGTATACACCGTATTCAATATAACAGAATATGAAAATACTATCAGTTCCAATTTACATGTAATTGATTCCATTCTAAACATGATGTGTGTCTTCTCCACATGTACAAACTTGTACTTACATTTCATCAGCACAGGCAAGGCCAAAGTATTCCTTCTCTTTCAGACTGAAGTAGGAGACAACAAGGTCAAGGAGGTCCCCAGCCAACAGTTTGGACTGCACACAGAAAAAGGGCAAGGAAAAAGTTCCAAAACCACTTAAATTCTCAAAAATACACTGACAGTAAAAAAAAAATTGGCAGTCGGCACACTGTACCGTGTACAGGTAGGCATGTTTAAAATAAAGGTAGCAGTGTAACTTTGGAACATCAAACAAATGATCTCATTTAAATTGAGCAAACTCTCCCTCCCCCCCAAGAAAAATTAAAGACAATTGCACTGCAGAGAAATTCACAACACAGTACATGTATGCCTACAAGTACCAACATGTCTCAATGTAGACTCTTGATGAAGAGGATCTGCATCCTTCAACTTGGGCTGTGTACACAATGTACATGTACCGGTATGCACCTTGTACCAGTAAATAAACTCTTCTATTTTCAAAGGAGAAAAAGTAACCCACGAATGTAAGAAAACCAAACTTTTGCCAGGTACTTGTGGATGTACAGTGTACCAATACAAGTGCACACGTGTACAAAATAAATGTACGTGCACCGGTAGATGTACATGTATTGTACATGTACATGTATACATGTTAGTATATGTACCGATACATGAACCATGCACAGTATGTACATGTACAATGTGTGCATGTACCGGTATGGTACTGTACTGTACACTGCACATGTACAGTCTAAACTTTCCAGACAGTCTCATAATGGCACCGTGGTACATGTTCATACATGTACATGTACATACTGCAGAAAAGTAATGTACACAGTGCAGGGGCATCGTTCTGGTACCGATACATGTATTGGGGATCTACAACTTCGTCAGACATGCAACAGTTTTATCTCATCAAACTACTACAAGTACCGCCTGTTGACAACTTTATCAGACATGCAAGAATTTCATCTTATCAATTTTAGATACCGTTAGCATGTACACATACATGTACATTCTTTCAATGTCACACACCATCATCTTCAGCAATGTCAAAATGCCAGTAGATTCATGGAATCACAGTATGCCGTATTTTACAGGCACTGTACTTCAGAAGTATGTATCATGGCACATGTCCTTAGCCAAAAATTTGCCAATTTGTGCATTAGTCCATCCTGCACCACTAGATACTGTACATGTAATGTAATCCAGTACCAGGTTACTATTCTGCTCACCATATCATTGAGAATATTCCTGATGATTTCACAGCCATCAGTGGTAAGGCTACATGTACCGGGTACAATTTCACTTTGTCAGTAATGCACTCTCCTTGAGTGCACTTTGGTAATGAATACCTAAACAATGCCATAGACCAAGAATTGGGAAAGTCGTATCCCATGTACATGTAATGCTACTGGATAATGGATCTTCACAACTGATATAAACACCTGTTAATCAGTAACACTACAGTTCAGCCCACAACAGGCAGGATCAACATAAATTTGATATTTTATTCACATTGTTCTAACAATTTGGAACTACCGTTGCACATGTTTGTAAATGTACCAGCACATGCAACTGAGCCATACAATTTTTGTTTTTTATACAATGTACTTGATACCTTTGTCTTTCAAATTACACGTATATGTACACTTGCATACAAGTGCTACACATTTTCGTACAACGTACATGTAGCAGACATGTCATCGCTATTGGTAAGAAATTCTACATGTGTCTGTACATGTACACACTCAATTTGAACGTAAACAATTTGATAAAGAGAATACAATTTCAAATCTCAACACAAAGTTCCTGCAAAACACAACACATCAGAAAAAATGCTGAAGGCATGTTGAAAAAGAGAGAGATTGAAAATTGAAACTACCGGTATTATCAATAATTAATGTAGTACATGTTTATGGTAAGTGCAGGTAGGGGACTGTTGTCAAATCCCTTAGAGCTATCTGTATCAATATTAAAAATCTTTGGGAATTCTCCAAATGCTGTGAGGTAGGACGTGTTTCAGGTGACAGCATATGGTGAGCCAAGAAAGCATGCCAGCAGGAGGAAAGCAAGAAGTAGAAGAGAATTTCATTAAATTAGAAAATATTCCCCATGGCTTGTCATATACAGTATTGCTCAAGCAAGTGGATTCTTTTAGAGGAACTTGGAGTCTGATGGCTCTTCAATGGAGAGCTGTTAACTTAAGGTACATGTACGTACTCGTACGGTATGTGTATCAGTACTTGTACATGTACCAGAACAAATACATGTACGTACACATACATAACGTACTTTCATGTAATGTACATGTATGTTATAGATAATCACATCTGGCTGCGGTACATAATCCGAGATCTTGACACTGACACTGTATTCAAATAAGAGTTTTGGATGCTATTCACATCAGCAGCTTTTCATAAATGTGAATGGATTGGCAGTGATGTGAAATATGCCCCTGCAAACACTGTACATGTACATGTACATACATGTACATCAGGCCTCGACATTAACAGTTGTCCAATTGCCAGGGACAAGTAATCTCTTCTTTTGGGCAAGTAAATATTAAGGACAAATTGCCCTTTGAAGGCCGGAAGTTCGAAGACTGTTTTACATGTGGCTGTGACTTCAAAATTAGTGAATTTTCCCTGGTACTTGTGTGTGCACTTTTTGCATATACATGTATGACACCAGGCAAAATCGTAAAGTGGTAAAGACAGAGCCGTTGCCTGGACTTTTACATGTATGTATAATGCATCAGAGTCCCATTGGGAGTGATGTGTACATTCATGTCAAGTGGTTGGCATAGCAATTTCATCAATGGTGACTGGTTGAAGGAAGGAACTCTCTGAGGAAGCAATGAGCAACTAAACCAGGGTTTGGGCAAATCAAATCTTACCTTGGGCAAGTAAATTTTCAATGCTACTTGCCCAATGGACAAGTACATGTAGTTAAAAAACTTAATGTTGAGGCCTGACGTACATGTATTTGTACTGTACATTGTACACATATACTGTGACAGGTTATGAAGAGTTTTCTTTGTGCATGCATGCAACCTTGGAATTTGATAAGTTTGACTGACAGCAATTCACTGTCACAAGATTTCCCCACACTGGCACTGCGTTCTACAGGTACATTGTACATTTGTGTACACAGTGATATTGTAAAGAACTCACGTCACACTTTACCATGTTCTTGTCCACTGTACATGTAATGTGATATTGATAGTTTCCTTTTGTACATGACGAATGTACAGGGCTTACACATGTACATGTACACACCTACAAATATGTGATTCAAACATCAATCAGAAGTCACTAACAGTCTGTCATATTCATCTCCAGACGAACAAAAAAGTACACTGATGACAAACGGCACTGTCAATAACGTACCTGTATCAGTATGACAGCCAGGCTAATAACCACACATAATTGGAAATCCTACTGCTATGCTAGCCAGTAACTGGATTTGGATCATTTGGACTGGATGCACTTGTACAGAAAGCAGCCTAGCACCTCCAGAGACTTGGCCAAGGAATACATGTACAGTGTATTCCAAGCATATGGGGCCACAACTCATTCATACGACAGCATACGTACATGCACATATCCAGTATGTACATGTGCTCCAGTTTATTCTGGTAATTAATTACAGGATTTCTTAAAGGGGTCTTAGGCATTGTACCCGGTAGCTTGTACATGTACATGTAAGCTTGAAGAAACCTGTAGAGAGGAGACATTAAGAAGTTACAGTTTTATTGTGTCAAATGTGAAAATTTGAAAGGAATCCTGTATACAGGTCTGCAAAATAAAAAACATGACTGATTGAATTTTGCCGGACTGCCTCCATGGAAGTGTAAATAACTTGTACTGTGTAGGCCAATGCCAGTGATCTATTCCTAAGATTAACCTCTTATGCCAGAGGCCATGGTAAAGAAATAACCTTCCAAAGGGACAGTCAGAAATGATTCTATCTGTGGCCCTCAGGCACTGATCTATTTTTCACAACTGAATAGGGAGAAGAAATACAGTGAGTGGATAATAATCAGGGCCAACTGTATAGGAATGTGTGGCTGTCTGTCAAACTTAAGCAGTTATAAATCTCTTTCATCTTTTGTTACTCACTCTTGAAATGATTATATTTGTACAGTTGGTCGTTTAGCATTCTTGCTGCTGTTACTGAAAGACGTTTACATGTACTTTGTTTTTTACAGTATGCAGTACAGCAAACTTCAATAGATTTGTGATTCGCAACACATGCAAACTGCAAACTTATACCGGTAGTATATTTTGTTAGTTGTAAGAAAGAAAAATGGATGATTAGAATTCAAAGCCAAGATTCATTCTTCCTAAGACATGAAAAATCTTGCTTTTATTTTATGTACATGTACTGTATATGAACCACATGTACGGTACTGTTCACTCTACAAGTACAATTTCAATTTTACTGTATTCTAAAATACCAGGTACCGGTATATCAAGGCATGTAATTCTACAGGAGAGCCGGGGGGGTTTATAAAATTGCAAATGGGAAAATTGCAAATTTTAGGGACTGATGAACTGTGTACTATAACGGCAGTACATGTACCAGTACATGTAGGTACCAGTACCGTAACTGGGCATTCAATCCTGGAGTGTAGTCTACGAAAGTACTTACAAAGTATTTTGATGGCATGTGCCCATACATGTACATGTGCACGCATACATACTGTACACATTGTACTTGTACCCAGTATATACATGTACCAGTATGTACCCTGTAGGCTGTATATGTACATGTACATACCAGTACACGAACGTACATGTAATTGTACCCAGTACATATTGTACATACATGTACATGTACCGGTATGTACATGTAGATACACTGGCTGTGTCTGTGCTAGTCTCAACTCTCCAACTATGTTACTGCACAGATACATGTATGTGCACCTGAACTGACAGAGATTGAGTTAGCCAAGGATGCCACTGGTATTACGACAGACATGAACAAATAGGATCACACCCTGGTGCAAATAACCCTAGACAGAAAGTACCATCAATCAAACAGACTGCAGTGTAGAACTGACAGGGCGTCTGCTGGTACAATGCAGCGTTGGCTTTGGACTTGGCATTGTTGATATTAACAACTTGCACCGGAACAAACACATCTGGCTACAATGTGCACAGTTGTTTCTAAATTGTGCACTGACAATGACAGGAAATTTTGAAGTACATGTACTGTACTCTACAGTATGTGTATAATGTGACCTGCTCTGCAAAAAAGGATATTACATGTAGGCCTATAAGTCGGGCAATGCTAAAACATGTAATGGCCTGTTCTATTTGGAGAGGGCAAAATTTCTTCAAAATGTGATTTTTGTGTTTTTTTCCTTTAATTGTTTCTATTTATATTTTCAGAATTTGTGACTACAAACATGGATACATGTACTGATGATAAAGACGAAAAATGGATCATTCAGTAAGAAATCCTATATAGCATTGTGTTTTCAAGCACTACACTTTATGAGCTTTTTCTCGAAAAGTGCTTTTATTGAATCCAAAAATGTGGATGTACAAATGTCTATAAACATGTACCGTTATCTCTGGAACACACCGCACTACAGGGGCCATTCATATATCAAATTGTAGCTTTTGATGTATAGAATCCAGCCACATCAAAACTCATGACCTGAATCTGGTGACTTACATGTACATGTATTACTCATTTTTCTAGAGCTGGTCACAACTCCTACAAAGTGCTACTGAAGTTACTGGTACAGTGTACCATGTGTGCTTACTCGGAAGAGAACTGCATCAACTACATGTGTATATAACTGCATGAAACAATGAAAATCAAATTTACCCTGAAAACTTAAGGAGTAGGCCTACATGTACATGTACCGGTATATATACATGTACATGTACTATATGTTTACATACATGTATACAGACCTGTCTACTACAAGAATCAATTTGTACGGGAAATACTGTACTACTGTAGTTTTCACTACAGTACATGATATTGAACAGAAATACAGGTACCATGTATATCTACACACAGCACATGTACTGTGTGTACATGTACAAGTATGGATGTACATGCACATGCGGCAGGATTGTGCATGCACACAGTACCATAGTATGTACATGTACCAATACATGTACCGGTAGGATTTGTAAGTGCATGTAAACGTACCGGTATATGTGTACATGTACATGTGCATCATGTAAAATGTATGTACATGTATGTGATGCATTCAATAAAGCAGAGTTCATTTCTTCCCTTATTTCTTAGGCAAACAGACATCTAGAAACATTGCCTGTAACTGAATAAAATATGATGATTAACTCTGTGTCAGTGCATGACACCAAACGTACATGTACATTAGTGTCTTTATTATCCAGTCAAAACTCATAATTTATAATATTCAGTGTAAATGTACCATCAAGCTACAATAAATTCTTGAGATTCCTTAAGTTTTCACCAAATGCTGCAGGATCATATACAATTTACATGTACACATGTATAGACCGGTACTGCATACATGTACATATATACATGTACCAGTTGTTCAGCAATACCCGGATGATTTGAAAACTCCATGAACATTTTTGACATTTTTATAAACAATTTATCTGCTATACTGGCATTTTGCCAAATGAAATTGTAGCTGTAGACTCCAGCTTAATAATGTTTGGGGTAACGATGATGCCCCCAACCCTAAGTAAAACTATTGCCAGCATGATCAGTTTCATAACCTATTTGAAGACTGATTTATTGATGTACAAGTTGTGTGACATGTGTGAGTCCCCAGTGAGGAATCAACAGGGGTACTGGGATACAAATGTGCAGACAAACATGTTCTCTAGAGGTACAATAATTGTTTCTTGTAGATTTACATGAACACATGTAGACCAGTGTGCATACATGTACATGTATTTAACAAATACATGTACTCCGGCAACGTATATGTACATGTACAGTACTTGTGGGGACATACACACACGTTGTGGGGAGTCAAAAATGTCCCTACAACTCGGTTTGAATTTCCCTAACAAAAGAACTTGTCCCCTGAAAACGGTGAATGCCTACCATGTACGACACACACAATGGTTTTTGATCTGTAGCTGTGGGGACATACATGTACGAGTACTTTATGTACTTTATTTTGTGGGGACCAAAGACGTTATATGGGACAGAAAAAACATTTCCACAATTCAGTCCTAATTTGTCTTGCAAAAGAAATGTTCCCCTTAACACAGTGAAAGCCCACCCATACAGTACACGTGCACTACCGGCACCATAATACACATGTACACGTACTGTACAAATGTACATCTGTAGACCAACTGTATTGAAGACAACCTTCCAACTGACAGTTGCACTAACATGAGGTCCTGATATTTGTGTAATGGATGAACAATCCCCTGTGGGAACATAACGGTACATACATGTAAGCCCACATGTACAATGTGCCCTAGTACATGTACATGTACCGGTACAATGTACATGTATGTACCATACTAGTACAAGTAGGGGTGTGCATTTCCAGATATTTCTGGAACTGGGTACCCCTTTTTTTGCCAACATCGGGTACCCGGGTACCTGGAAAAGAGATCACTTAATAACAAATGGCATTGCGCGCAATCCCGGTGGGCCATGTGCCCAAAACAGCCCTTTTTTCGTACATAGGAAGCAAGCAGCACATTGTTCTAAACGTCAGAGTTAATCTCTCCTACATGTACATGTACCTTTTTATCAATCAAAATTGTTACTTTTGTGAACTAGAAAAATTCCAGAACTACGAAAACGACTGCAGTACAACGGGGGAGTGCATAACAAAAGTACATGTAGCTGTCAATCTCCAAACTGAAGTTTCATATATGACCGCGGGACCGGTTTTTAGCGGCATGGTGATTTTTCAGGAAGTCTGCCCTTCAGTATGAAATTTCACAGACATTTTACATGTATACATGGATTTTTGTTCCCAATTTATGAATTATAATTTTTAAGGGTACCCGGCCTGGAAAAATGGAACCAGGTTTGATATCGACGGGTGAGTACCTGGGCACAGGGCTAAGTACATGTACAATGTATCGGTATGTACAGCAGCTGTAGAGCATTCAGGTATTGTGTTAGACATACATATACATGTACATGGAGCAGAAGAAAGGCCTTAACTACATTAACACAAAATGAACACATCCTGGACTGGTTTACATTAGTTGCTCAAATTGTTTCTGATGTGAGATGATTCATTTTCTTAAAAACACAGTTCCCTCTATTAGTTGAATGGGCTATTTCATCTAACCCTCATATCCCATCCCGATTATAATACCCAACCAAAAACAAAATACCAAAGAGACTCTTCACAAAGATAACATTACAGGTGCATGTACACCAACTTCCAAGCCAGTCAGCTGGTTTTCCCCCTCTGCAATTTCTAACCAATCCAGGTGTAGTTTAGTAAGACTGAATAATAGCAGCCATTTAGACTACTGTAAAAGCCATTACATATTACAATGTTTACTTTGGAATTAAGCAGCATACCTGAACAACAAGGTCCACACGTTTGTCATCCAGCAGCACAACCTGGGTCCGTCGTCCGTCAGTCATCTGAAACCAAACAAAAATTTCCAAATTCCATGAAATAACATGTAATCCTTACACTGTACATACATGTATGATATTGTGAATTTCTTTGGGCTACGCAAGTTAACCAGTCATCTTGAAAGATTTAAATGAAATCTCCAGCTGTTAACAGTAACTTTTTTGTAACGTACCGTACATTGTAACATACACGTACATAATCCACGCATGCATGTAACAGCCTCAAAGCTCTTGTTGTACATTATTGGTCCACCCATCCTTACACAACTGTACTTGTGGGTTATTCCCTTTGTTCTTGTGTAAAAAACTCCCACACAACACACACAAAATTTCAAATCACTCCAATTTAAACCAAATTCAGTTTCCTGGGTTGAAATTTCGACCGTATGTCCCTTGCATGTATATAAAACACTTCAATTTGCAATGGGTTTTACCCATCAAAAATTTTCCCTTTCTGAGTTATTTCCAAATATCAGCTTCCTGAAATTCTTGTGGGGTACCAATTTTGGTACCCTACAAAGTAAAAACTGGCCTTGTGAGGTACTTCCCATTGTTCCGGTACCCCACAAGGCCCCATGTATAAGCGCACCCATGTGTACATGTATGCATGTACATGTACAGTACTTGATCTCCATGCACCACGGCTTATACATTGATTCTCATGCTGTCCCTGCGGCTTATACGCCGGTCGGCTTACAAATGAATACAGTAAACTTTGAAGGATAAAATCAGTCACAAAAGCCGCAGCCGGGCCTCGCGTACCATGTGCAGGTGGTGTAGTCATGTTTTCATTGGTTGCCTTTTACATCTGAAAACTCAGAGAACAAATAAAAACTTGAGTTGTCCAGATTTGACAAGAGTCTAAAGACATGCTTCTGTAAGTGTAATCTGTATCAAGCGCACGTACACATGACTGACACTTGTATTGTGGATAAAATAACGCACTGCAACGTTTTTGAGACACACAAGTCCAGTTGGATTGTTCTTAATATACAATGTACCAGTACATGTACTGTGCATGTACATGTGTGCATACACATGTAGAGGCAAATTTTATCCTTGTGAATTTAGAAAACACACAAATACTCATCCCAATCTGCATAAAACATGCAGTATTGATTCTTGTGAATGCAACAGCTGTGAGTCATGTACAGTGTACTGTAGTCTATGGATGCTGTATTGTCAGAATGCAAATTTGTATTGACAAAAATTGAGCAACAATTTTCAAGCCATGCTAACAGGTCCAAGAATTAAATGAAGGTTTTTTATGCCATATCAGTGCGTATACACAAGCAGTAGAGTTCATCACAAAACAAACAGGACAATTAAGTACTCTAATTAGGCCTCATGTGTAATGAAACTCATGGAATGTACTCTACATGTACAAGTTTGTACACATGCACATGTACAGTACAATGATCATACCGATGCAGCATAAACCTTAAAGCTACAAAACTACATGAACATGTACACTGTGCATGCATCGATAATGTGCACTATGCACATGCATACATGTACATGTACATGTACTTAACTAGTACATTTTTTGAAGCTGAATAATGGCATGATAAACTTACATGTACATTGAGCAGAGGACCAAGCATATCATGTTCCATGCTGTGGTTGTCAAACAAACAGATTCAAGTTGAAGGACATTCAAACACACAGAGTTTGTGTGAACAATATTCTGTGCAATCAGTCTCACCAAAAGAGTGGCTATGCAAGGTAACTGAGAAGGTATTTAAGTCACAGCCACAGAACCACTTACAGGTACATGTACAACCACATAATGATCAAATACCACACATTAATTTAATTTCCACTGTACGCATACTATACATCATAAATGATAGAAAACAGCCGCCAAACTTCAACTAGCCAAACAAAGTTCACACCGTCACTGATACAGTAACTACTGCAAGTGTCAAAAAGATTGGAATGTCAGGTAATGTACACAGACCTAGAACATTTCTGTGTGTTCAGGAAAAACAAACAAGCTCCTTGACGCCAGAAAGGCTGACCAGAAATGGAAAAGGGAGTGATCCCTTTACAATATCAAGCAGAATACACAGTCAACACTGTGCTCAATAAAATATTGTGGCCTTATCTAAATACACAAAATCACAGCTGGCCAAGGTACAGGTACATATAATCACTGAGTGCTGCAAATATAAACTGTGACTAGTTCTGTAAACAATAAAATTAATAACTAACACTAAAGTGCTTGTTTTGGAATGAGTGGGCTGCTCTGTGTTTCAGGAAATTATTTGATGAGTTCATTTTTCTGCTTTCACTGTAATCATTATTACGCTTCCATTAACATGTACATGATCTGTGCGGTTTCATGAACATTCACAAAGTCCAGCTGTTTAATTTCAATTGCACATAAACAAAAGAAGTGAAAGAATCAAAAGGAACTGTCATGTAACATACAATTATACTTTAGATAACACTAATATTTACTCACCTTACGGTTTGAAGCGATTATTGTCAATTCCTTACACCTGTGCTTTATCTACTCCATGTGTACATATACAAGTACACCCGTACATGTACTGTACCGTATCTAGGACAGTTTCCATTTTTTAAGAATCAGTTCCATCTTGCTACATCTACAGTACGAGGTACATGTACCAGTAAGAACACACATTTTTCCCCTGTAATTTTGTTTATTTTATTCTCGGACAAGATCTGTCCAGAATTTCATTTACATGTAATAGTGTCGGACTGTACACTCACACAGCAGAACTGGCAGCATATATATTCAAGCTACAACTAAACCTTCAAAATGCCACAATATGCAAGGTCAATAGAATGCACAATCCATGTGTGTGTGACAAGCAGAGACACCAGGCCAACTCATCCTATCATCAACAAGCATCTTAGTCTCTAATCTTGGCTATGACACCTTGGCTATGACACCTTGGCGTTAAAATTGTCAAGCAAACATGTATGTCATCATGTCATGAAGGAGATATCAAAGGAGTTACATTTCCTCTGCATCATCACTCTGTACACATATATGCACACATGATGTACATGTACCACACTGTACAATGTACATGTACATGTACCACACTGTACAATGTACATGTACCACATGTAGTATAGCAATGTTGCATTCTCAAATAGTGGCAGGGCTTGAAAACTTTGAAAAACTACACTTTATCTATAAGTTGGTTGGATTTTAATTTGGTGAATACTTGTACAGTTTACAAAACAGTAGACTGTCCAGCCGTTTGGTCATGAGTGTAACGCACCAATGCCAAAATCACTGACCTCGGTCCACTAGTCCAACACAATTTTGATTCCTGGTTCACTTGACTTAAACATAAAGACTGTCACAAATGTAAATTCACAATGGCCTTGAACTCAGAACCTTACATGTACATGTACAACTTAGGCATCAGCTTCTCAGGACTGTTTGTAACAGGCACATGCAATTTTAACTAACTGAATAACATGTTTTAGTATAAACTTTGTATAACATCATACATGGCACCAGAAAATAGTTCAAAAGACAAACTTGAAAATGGTTTATACTGCATATGCTGACCAATGATGAATTGCAATCAATCACTCTTCTTTAGTTCTGGGAACTAAAAAAGTAAGATCCCTAGAAAGTCGGAAACACAAGTTGGAACTTCCCAACATGCAGACAATAGATCCAATCAGGCAAGAAATGCCTGTGGGTAGGACTACTCCAGTTTATGAATGAAGAACTCAGCTGAATGAAGCCAGTTTCTGCTTTCCTATTCTCAGCAGAAAATGGGCCATTGTCTACAAGGTTGGTTACACGAATACGAACCTGTACCACCAGACATGACAAAGGGCAACCACCAACAGAAAGTCACAAGATTTGTAATGTAATTCATAAATTACCATCTCAAAAACTTGACTTCCAAACACTGACAGCCTGTGAACTTACAGTGCAAATTTTACCCGGCACATTGTTTGTCTAACCAATACTCGTCCAACTGATGGTAAGAACCATACACAGTGTACATAAGGAAAAGCATGCCTGCCCATAGATCAGCACTGTCAAAATTCAATTAAATTATTAACCCATATGGATACCATACATGTACATGTACCCGTATACAATACAGTTAATATGTGCACGCTTCATCATAAATAAGGTTTTGTAATGAAACATACCAGTGAATGGGCTACATGATACACAAGGTTTCAACATTTGTGCCATCCTTATTTCAGTCTTCAAATGAGCCAAGCATATTGTGTCAAGATGATAATTCATTTTTCTTTTTTAATTTTTTCTCTTTTTTTTCAATTATGGGTGCTGAGAAACGTACATGCATATACTCAACACTTCTATGCTCGGTGTTGTCCACGGGCTTGTGAAAAAATTCCCAAGCTTAATACTCGGATGAGACTCGAACCCACAACCTCTATCAAACAATAAAATATTAACTGTGGGTTTTCCAATAGGCCTACTGGTATTTATAGACACAGGCTCTACATGTAGCCATGCTTTATATGATATATAAAGCCATTTAAATTTCATTATGAGATTTATATGTCATATGATTTTTTTTTCCATTTTATATTGTTTAAAAGTGTTTTTATTATATAAATCTTTTTCCAAACACACATGTAAGTACACTGCATCTCATTAAATCAGCAAAAAACAGTCATGTTGTCTTCATACAAACAGCAAAACAAACTTAAAGCGTTTTGTGTGCAGAACCTAAAACTATAATGTGCGGCACATTGCTTATAGCACACATGTATCAAAGTGTAGTCGGGGACCATGTTGGGTTATGTGGTATCGATATGACAACGCTCTAGGCACCAGACACTACCACTGGAATGAGTCCCATATACATGTACGGACAACACTAATTTTCCAATAACAAGTAATAATGAGTATTATAACAGCCATCAGAAAGTGAAAACGTCATTAAAAATGGAATTTACTGGTAGCTAAGAAAATTCTGAAGCATTTACTTGGAAAAACAGGGTTTTTTGCAGACAAGTCTCACACGTTTGTCCACAAGGTCATCATCTGTTGTCCATATACATGTATGGAACTCTTTCCTTACTAGTTAAACTAAAAGAGAACTAATGAGCAGTAGATAAAACTATTACCTTATTTCAAAACTAATACCTATTTATATCATCAGTACATGTATAGGCCTATCACTAAGCAAAACTCAAATATGGGAACGAACAAATGGGTTCTGTAAATAAAAACACTGCCCAAGACTGCACTGTTTTGGAGGTTTCATGTCATTTATTATTTCTCAGGACAACAAAACCATAGTGGACAAACAGAAAATACAAAGACAGTTTACAAATACAGGACCACCCACGAAGGATTACCAACAGCAAACCTAATCACAGTCAAGTGGCTCTCCTTGTTGTACCACATGAAACAAAACATAGACATAAATATAATGATAAAAACCAGCTAAAATATTACATGTGTAAATTAAAAATAATGTAGACAAAATAAATAAGAGATTGTACAGTCAAGACTAGTATAAAGAATTACTGTAAAAAATTTGCATTCAGATATGGAGCAGTCACAGGAAAATAGATTACAGGTGAGACAAATAATGAAATATATCAATTAAGAAATTGTGAAATAAGATAATATTGAGATTTAAAAAAATAGCTGACTCTATGGAGGATACTGTTGGTGGTTTCAGTTTTCAGCCTTCAGGAGGTCGACCCCTTTTGTAAGAATGATAAAAACAAAGAGGGTCCCAAAATTTACAAACCCCGTAAGTACATTGTACTACATGTATGAGGTTATTCCTTGCCAATCTCATTGGGCTACTTTGAAAGTAATGTTAGCCTTTGAAGTATGAACCAAAACATCATGTAGGCCTACATCATGTCATGACCATGACCAACATTGCTTGGCGACAAGAAAATTAAGTATGTTTCATAACATGGTTAGGAGGGGAGTCAGAGTTCCATATACAGATGTCTGTAATTATTTCCCTACAGAAACCTATTTCTATTTAGCCGTCAGAATGCAAACACATGTCCAGAACAATTAAATTTAATAGGGAAAAAATCAATTTGTTTACTGAGATAACACTGAGAATTTTTCAAATTAACCTCACAGAGTTTGTGCACAGGGTGTCAAGCGGCGCCTGTTTTTAGGCCTACAATCACATGTACATGTACTTAGAGAACTCTCTAAGTCACTACTCCGTCATTAGATCATACTCCGTGTGACGGACATGACGCCGGAGTAGTGACTTATAGTTCTCGAAGTAGGCCTACATGATGGAACTCTTTCCTTTTTAGAGGAAGAATTAATATTAGTCAAACGTCTTGCACACAAAACATACTCCATCATGTCAATATCCACGACATCCAACCACGCAGTGCTGGTTTGCTGTTGGGCTTTCAAAAACAGAAGGAAATCCTGGTGTTGGCGCTAGGCCTACAAAACTTCAAAAGCTATTGTGGACTCACCTTGCTTGACAGCTAGTTTGAAGTTTCAGTTGAAGACTGGCTAATTGAAATAAATGTTCTTCCCATTATCCCTAAAGCAAGACATTTCGGAAGTTTCTCATCGCCAAGTTAAGAACAAGCATGACAAGTGTTAGTGTTGCCGTTGGTGTGGGTACATCGCAAGTGGAGGAAAGCTTGATTTTTATCCGCATACCAACCCGATGATGCCGTCCATTGTGGTGTGTGCGGGAAGTTTATCGACGTACGTGTGAGCGCTGGTACACGTAACATGACAGCATTATCGTAATGAAAAGGGCTAGAATACCAGTGGGTTTTAAAAACGGCTGTCAAAATATTGGTCAACAGAGGACGCTGTTTCATTAGCTTGGCTTGAGAGCTCATTTCATTATTACATGTAGAGAGTCCTGAGAGGGAATTGATGGCACTGAACCCCTGGCCTGGACTCAGGGTTTCCAATTCCGAGCAATTAGGATGCAATTTGATCCGAAAGTGGCACTATTTATCCGTTTTGCAGAGGGATGCATTTTCAAAATGGCTGCTTTTCCGGGCAGTGAAATTTCCTTCATTTTAGGGGTGGTCCACTTTGGGTGAGAATTTCTTTTAAAAAATTCATCGGTCAACCCACTAAAAACTTAAAGGAAAATGAAAGAAGACATGTCAAGCATAATCTTTCTGTCCAGCCTGGACACCTGTGAATATTTTAAAAAATAATTTTGAAATATAAGGATTTATCATCGGTGTCTATGGGATTTTATCTTTAGGGGTGCTCCCCAGTTATCATAGTAAAGCTGTAAGAGTACGCTCATATGGGTGCGCTATTCCAAGTTTGCCCAAGACCAGCAGGGCGACATGATAATCTACACACTGCCATTTAAACGATCACGTAGTTATGGAATTCCATATCTGCCGTCGTGCGTCGTGCGTCGCCCATCAAATGAGTTGCATAGGACCTGCAAAAGCCGGGGTTTAACAAATGACGATGTGATGATTCCATTCCCCTTTAAAGATCTTTTCCGAATAAGGCAAGTACAAATCCCACCCGCAAAGCATATACTAGTCACATAATTAATTCCAATAATGCTAGACTATCCCTGCCCCTTGACAAGAAAATATCACCTCTCGGAGAATTCAACCAAGTGTTTTTTGGGGGGGGGGAATATTTTCAGCAAAAATGTTCCGGCCAACTTATCCACAGTGTTGTTCTAATTTGCATAGTGTAAAAATGTGCCGACTTCTTTGCATCAAATTCCAAGAAGAAATCTGCCAACCGATACAGATATTCCATCTTGTCCTCTCAATTTCACCTTGAAATCCAGAAATGCTAGACGTGCTGTGGATAACAAACTGTTTATTAAATGTATTGTTATGGGGCAA